CCATACGCACGGGACACACTAATACACAGGTACAAACTATGTAGCGTATAGGGACACACTGACACAGTATGACGCATGCATGGATGCACATACACAATATATTATGCATGAGTAATGTGTGTGTATGAATGTAGCGCAGGGAGACAGAAACACACAAACTCAAGACTCAAGGCTGTGTTAAAATGCATGTGTTTGTGTGAGCGTGTATACTTGCATGTGTGTGTTGGTGTGCTGTGTTTTTTGTGTTATATAACAGTATTTAATGTGCTCTAAGATGTCACATTAGGGATTAGGTTGATAGTGACAGAGCTGCAGATTGCCATTGCCTCTGTCTGTGTGTGTGTGTGTGTGTGTGTGTGTGTGTGTGATGTTTAATACACAGCAAAATAACCACACTGTACATGCTCGTAGCTTTATTATTCATCAAAAGAATGAGTCTGTGTTTCCTCTGTCTAGCTGATAAGCTCAGAAGCGAGCGCTGTCTGTCATTTTTTTTTATGCAGTGGTGTTGCATGTTTTTCCAGACGTCAGAACTTAAAATCATTTGAACTTTTTCTGGTATACAAAATTGTTCCCCAAGCTATTAGACCTTGCCTGTTTTTATTGTATTTTCAAAAAGGAGAAACAGTTCATTTCCTTTGCACCGTCTCCAAACTGTGAAAAGCAATAACAGCTGTGCAAGCACACCGAAAGAATTTAATTTAAAGCAAATTGTAGCTGCATTAGGCAAGGTTTTTATGGTAAAAGTACACCCATGCTATCAGTATAAATCAGAAAATGGGGCTTGAACAGAGAAAGTAGTTTCAGGTGTTAATCAACGATTTTGATGCAAAAGAAAGAAAAGAAAAGAAAAGAAAAGAACTTAAAATGTTTGAGTTAGCACTCTTTGCAGAATAAATCTCACATGAACACACAGAGATCTATTTGTTGGCTGGCCACAGAAACAACTCCAAATTGCTGGTAATGTTTCTCAGTGCCTATTGCAGTGTGTAAATGGGCCGCTGTTTGCAAACACGTTTTAATGTTGTGGTCACAGCTTGTTCTGCTGCCACCAAGTGGCCAAAAAATCTGTTAATACTGTTTTCAACAGTGTTTACTACTGCTTTTTTAAATTTTTCTTGTCTCAGTTGTTACTTCAATCAGATCCATCATCTTCCTCTTTGTCATCACATTTGATATGCAGACTATTTTCTTGGAGAGACTTCTTTGTTAGATTAATAATAAAAAAAACCTCAGTTTCACATTCCAGTTTAACAAAGGATGGAGAGTGACAAGTACCAATGTGAGTGTCACCCTATCTCATCCATATCTGCCCGGCTGCTTGCTTAATCCTCATAATCCTTCTCACAAGTGCTTTTCACTTGGTATGAACACACACACAGTTCTCTTAAAAGTGTGAACACGTGATGAACATCGGTCAGCACCAGTTGCCCATGTTTGAGCTCAACCATCTGAGCTCTGTGTTTTGTGCCATGAAGCAACTCAGCAGATTTACACTGTAATTTAACCGCAATGTGAAATGCAGAGTTGAGGCTGATAGTCTGCTCAGTGACCATCTCATTTGTTTGCACTAGTTATACATATAGCATGTTTCATAATGAATGTGGTAATGATTTATTGATGTATAAAAAGGCTGCAAGTAGCATATTGAAAATACTATATATTATTGATTGTTAATGTTCCGATCAAACTTAAGTTTGTAATCAGTGTCTGTGTAAAATTTGAATGAATGCAGATGTGAAAGTGGGTCATTGCAACGAATATGGCAAAGAAAAAATGAGGAAAACAAACTTAAGATAATACAACAGATAATTACAACTAAACATGTTTAAAACACTGAAAAGAGTTAATACAAGTACTGAATATCACTAGAGACTGAATAATGCCTGCTTACATAATAAGTTCACCAAACTGAATCAAGATGTCCTTGTAGTATGGCATTTTGCTGTATTACATTACAGCATATTGTTGATGAACAGTCATCAAATTTATAGATTTGGGACTCCAACTGACTCAAGTCAAAGTACGCTTGTTATGTGTTCATTGAGCTACAGTAAAGAACACACTCATGAGCACTATGGTTTTTACATAACAAATACATGTGTGCTGTCCAAGTAGTAAATGTCAAATGAATATATAAATAATCTCTATAAACATATATTATGAATGCAGAATCTGTAGGTAACGGACCAAGATGTTAGCTTTTTTTTAAATGTGTAAATAGAGATTAGCCCAAATGTGTCTTTCTCGTCATTCTTGTGTATCAAGTTGCTAAATGGACTGCAGAGGACCAGCTAAACCAGGTGAGCTATCCAGTTTTGGAAGATTTCTTGGAATCCTTTAAACCCTGACTTTCCGAGTACGTTAGCAAACAGTTGCCTACGGAAAAAAAAGAGCAACTTTAGCATTTACCTGGAGTCGTGTTTCCGGCCACCTGACAAAAGTCCAAAGTATTCCACTTTCTTCATGAGCTAGTTGCTAACTGTGTCTGTCGGCTGTTTAGTGCTGGTAAGGGAGCTTATCAGAACTTTTGCCTTTTGCGGCTCAAAATGAGGTTGATGACAGTCAAGTCATGGGCTCAAAAACCAAAACAATGAGCTAAAAGAGACCAAAAACACTGCAGAGTTGGCTCTGTGTCCGTCACTACGAGGGACCTCTTTCAAGTCACACATAAAATATTTATTATGATTGATATGATTCTACCTAGATATCACAAAACAACAGCTCTTCTTCAGTGGGTGGTGGATTTTTCGGCGAGAGGGCTAACTCATCACTATGTTGTATTTTAATCCAGCATTTCAAGTTCCCACTTACTGTGCATTAACTGTGTTTTCCAGCATTAATTAAAGTCTGACACCTGAAACCACCTTCCCAGTTGAAGCTCCATTTTCTGATTTATTCTGATAGGATGGGTATATTTTTACCATAAAAACCTTGCCTAGTGCAGCTATAATTTGATGGCTTAAAATAAAACCTTGGATCAGTCCTTTGAAGCCTTTTCCTGTGTCCACTTTGGCAAAGCTGTGGCTGTAAATAATGTAGTTTTGCGGCAGCAGAGCTCAACGCGTCTCCATTTACTGGCCGAACATTCGATAGAAGGCAGTTTTCTCGGGCTAAAAGCGCTGGATCTCACTTCATCTGTCTTTCTTTTCCAATCTCTTGCTGTCTTTCCTTCTCTCTCTGATTGTTTTCCTCCCTGCGCTCATGTCATCGCTCATTCTGCCTGCTCCTCTATCACTCTTTAATCGCTCTCCACCTCAATCTCTTTTCTTTTATCTCTCCATCTTTCTCCTATTTTTGGTCCCAGATGCATCAATTATTCATGTCTTTGCATGGACTTTCTGACTGGAGAGCTATCAACAAGAGCTATCAGGGTCATCATATTACACCTGAGCATCCACCTGTGACACATATAGTCCCATAAGAGGATGCAGGCACATGCACAGGCAAACACAAATGGGAAATCGTGCACAGATTCCCCTGCCTACAGGGGAAGTTAGGGAACAGAAGTCACGTTTTTCATCGCATGGCTGCAGGTGAAAAACACAAGAGATTCAACAGTCATTTTGAATTAATTACGCAGTAGAAATAAAAATCTACTTTCATTTGTCAAGTCTGGACAGTCAGCTTGCTTATTCTCAAGCTCTGATATACTTAATTTTGTACAAGTAATGGGCTCAAACAAATGACCCTGGTGTGATTTGAACACCATCTGGTGTCAGACGCACTACCGTTGCACCACAGGGCAAGGAGGAGTATGATGGTGACATACTGCAAGAACACATTTGTGTGACCAGGGATTTTTATGTATGAGAGCTCAGTTCTTAGAGAAATAAGGGCAAACGAGCATTGTGGTGTAGTTTGACCTGAGCCAATGTTTGTTAGCTTTGCAGAGCAAATGCCGCAAATGCCTACCTTGTGAGTTGAGCTTGTACTACAAATGTCTTGGTGTGGAAAACTGTGCATCCAGCTGCAGTGAGTCCTCCAAGTTGATCCTAGGCTCACTTTCCAGCTGACAATAAGCAAAGAAAAATTTGTGGCTGCAATGATACAGAAATGTGTGATTTTAGTAGTTATTTTTAACAGAATTTAACAGTAGATATTATGCAAACAAATACAATATGAACACTGGTTGGTCCCATACTGCAGTGTTACATGCGTGTGAATAATGTCAAAAACTCTTTTTGATATAATTGTGGGGTCTTTGTTGGTTTAAGAGTCAGAAGTGAACTCCTGAATAATACAGGGGTTTGTGTGTTTCAGGGTATGCAACCGCCACAGGGTACTGAGCCCATCTGTAATGGAGAGCTGACCTAAATTGTATATTTTCTAACCCTGATATGTCTAACTGTGTCTGAGCCTGCAAACTTCAAGGGTAGTATCCAATAGTTGCTACCAGTAGGTTTCCCTCCATGTAGAGTCCTCTTTAAGTACATTTTTTATATTCCTCTGCATGAATTTTAATTATACAATTCAAAATGAACTGTGTTTACATTCTTTCATTTATTCACTGCAGAAATTGCTTAAATGAGTGTTCCTGAAAAGGAGACGATCACTGACCCTGTCTTAAACTAAGTTGGTCTTCATCACCTAACCTGACTGGGCAAGATGGTTTGTTACTATATACAGTTTACATAATGGACAAAGCTTCCTGGTCTGTGAAGTGAAG